CACTGTATTGCTGATAACACTGGCCTGTCTCCTATTTAAGCCCACATCTCAACTCATGTCGTCCTCAGGGGGATGAAGAGGTCCAATACATTAAAGATTAGAAGGTGCTCAGAGAAGTACTTATCTGGCTTCCATTGCTGTATTAAGATCTTAAACTGAACTCGTCTTCCCTCTTTTTCTATCACTGTTCACAGCACCATCCTCCCAATCACTCAGGCTTACACTCGGGAGTATTTTTTACTCCTTTTCACGCCGCTAGTGAAGTACAGGTTTGGGAGCTATTTAATAAGGCAGCAGTCGGAGAAAGTACTTCTACTAGCTTTTGGCTCTAAAGATTATTTCCCTCCATTCACCTAGAGGACGTTTCTCACACCTGTACAGGGAGTCGGATCTTTGACGTTACACTGCTTCCAGATTCTGTCTCCTCCTGAATTTCAATTTCATCCCAATTGGTGGCTGTCGCTAAGATAGAGCCAGCTGTATCTAGCAGCAAAGTCTGGGTGAAACGGTGAACCAAGACCTAGGAGGGGAAAAATACAAATATTCAGGAACAGGTCACTGCAGAGAGGAGGGGTCAGATGGTTTACTTATGGCTTTGTGCTTTTCACTTAGTGAATCTGCTGAGGAGACTGAGGTGGGCAAAGTTGTTTCCATTTGTCTTTAACGTCACACAACGGGATCTGGCAGCAGAGTGTGACTAGGTCAGAGCTATTGCTCAGCCATATTCATTAGCATTTGATCAAGTACCTGACCTGGATGGACCACTACATTCAACACCCTAATGACATCAAAAGTGAAGTATCCTGCACTTATAGCCCACTCTATTAGCCTCACTTAGCACAAACAGAGCTATGCAGCACTGTAAAGACTAACAAGATGGTTTATTAGGTGATGAGTTTTCATGGGCCAGACCCACTTCCTCAGATCAATTTGTGGAAAAAAAAAATTGGCACGACCATATATACCAAAGTGATACAATTAAAAAAAAAGTGAACACATAAAATTGACAAATCAGATTTTAGATCAGAGGGAGGAGTGAAGGGGGAAGGTTAGTGTCTGTGAGATAATGATATTAGGGGGTGATAACTGGGGAAGCTAGCTTTGTAATGGGTGAGATAATTAGCATCTTTGTTAAGGCCCTTACATGTCAAATTTAAGCATGAATGACAGTTCTGAGGCTTCTCTTTGAAGTCTGGAGTTAAAATCTCTTTGAAGCAACATGCATGTTTTAAGGTCGTTGAGAGAATGGTCAGTCTGGTTAAAATGGCAAGCAACAGTTTTCTCTCTGCACAGACACTCTAATTGACAAGATTTTTTTCCCTTCTCTTTCCC